TATCGATGTTAATTTTTCCCAGCCGAGTACTGCCTCAACTTTTTTAGGGTTCATTAATACTCCATTCCTTGATATGATGTGTCTTAGGAATGTAGTCTGCTCGAGTCAGAACTCACACTTACTCATCTTTGTATACAACTTCATTTCTTTGAGAACCTGCAAAACCTGAGTTAGATTGTGAACGTGTTCCTCTCTGCTTTTTGAATATATCAGGATATCATCGATAAGTACAGTGACTAAATGATCCAGAAATTATCTAAAAATCATATTCATCAAATCCATGAAAATGGTTTGTGCGTTGGTTAGTCTAAATGGCATGATCAGGAACTCATAGTGTCCGTACCTTATTCGAAAAGTTGTGTTGGAAATGTCTTCTGTCTTGATCTTTACTTGATGGTAACTTGAACGCAAGTCTATTTTGGAGAAGACTTGGGTACCCTGCAATTGATCAAAAAGGTCATCGATCCTGGGGAAGGGGTAATTGTCCTTAATCCTGACCCTGTTTAGTCCTCTGTAGTCAATACATAACCTCAACATTCTATCTCCCCTTCCTTGCAAATGGGACTCCAGTACTCTAAGGAGAAACACCGTGTCGGATGAACCCACTGTCCTGCAATTTCTTAATCTATTTCCTCAACCCTTCCATCTCTACATGACTCATGCAGTAAGGGAAAACTAAGATAGGCTGCGTCCCAAGCTGAAGATCTATAATGAACTAACTTTTTTGTCCACTAGTAGTCTGAAAAGTTCATCAAGAAATACATTCAGGAAGTTTCGGACTAGCAGGATCTCTCGAATATAAATTTTTTTCTTAGGTTTGCCTAATTAGAGAAAACAGCTAAGTTTAAGCACTATATAACAAGAAAATTACTATGAGAAAACAACATTCAAAACCTTTATTAGCTAGTAACTGACTCTTCGTTAGGAGACTTAAATAAAATTTTTCTCATGAAAATAATTCACGGTGGTGTGATACTTCGCTAACTAATTCATTCTTTAAAATACATCAAGATTCCCATGTCAATCTTTATCAGGTCCATCATGGGTGAAACTGAGTCATGTGGAAGAGGGGTCAGATGTTGCTGAGGAGGGACCGGGTGGCCCTGTAACAGTGCTGGATGATATAGTGGGGGTTCTGAATTGTATTGTGACAGTGTCGGAAGACACGACGGAGGAGCAAGGTTGCATTGAGGTGACGTTAAATCCTCTCATTATAAGGGTGGCTCATATTGTTGAAGTGATGGAGGGTTAGACAGTTCCCTCCTCACTTCCCTGGCCTACTGGGCAGAAACAAGTCTCTCTAAAATCTCGAAGAGCCGATCGACATCCTCTCGAGACAACCCGTTTCGAGTTGCCCTACTCAGTAAGGGACCTCATCTCCTCGTGTCTCTGTACTTATTTTTCACAAGAAAGGGTTGAATGATAGTTTGTGTTTGGTGTTTTTAAGTCTTTGTATAAGGAATAGTTTTGAAAAACGCGGTTATGATACCAACTGTAATGGCCCAGAACTTGAAAAGAAATAATTTATAAATTTAATACAGAAGTGGAATAATAATGTTAGGATTTACATTCCTTACATAATAATTTAGAATACCTAATAGGGCTACGAGAATGACCATTCTAAAAGAACAAACGAAAAATCAAAGAAATAAATGAAAAGTAAACAACTAGGCATCTTATTCACAACCCTCTTGTGGATCGAGATCTGGATCTTGGCCCTCTTGATCTGAAATGGTTAATAAAAGAGTGAACTCCACTAGCCCAGTAAAAATATCATACTACTCACCGATACATAAATGGAAGTTGGTAAAAAATTATAAAATAATTAATGGAGCTCTTCATTTAAGTAAATTCAATTATTATAAATAAAATTATTTATTGCATACTTATCATAGTGAGATTTTCAAAACTGATCTATACAGATAATAATACAAACAACGTCATAATCTCATATTCAATTAACCATAATAATAACTTTTCCTTTTTATTTATCTACTGGTATTCATGGGGGTCCATAGGAATGTCCCCACTAGGCGTGAATCTTTATTCAACATTGTTAACTAACTGACCGTCTCCACACTCCGTTTAGTATGAGCGCCAAAAATATCATCTCTCAATACCTCGTCCGGTATGAGGGTGAAACGAGTCGTCCCCATACCCTGTCTGACATGAGCGCCAAAATACCAATCCTCGATACCCCGTCCGGTATGAGGCAACATTCACAGTAGGATTCCCTATGTACCTAGTCCGTCCACCATCTCCCAAAATATCCAGTAAGGCTACCATTTATTCATTCACTTAATCAAGCAATTCCCCATTTACATTTAATTTATAATTTCACAATTTAACTGTAAATCATACAAAACAACCAATACATGCATCAAGGAAACATAATCGAATCATCTTACGAACTCTAGCATATTATTTTGCATTTAAAACTGTAAAATCAATCAATCAGTTAAAACAGGATAAACAGTGATAAATAACAGTTCTGTTTCCATTAGTAACCTGTATTAATTATCGAGGTTTTTTAAATTACGTCAAATACCGTATTATTTATAATTAAACTTTAATTTCATAACAAGGAATAAGGTGAGAGATTTTTACCTAAATTGGTGTTCGAAATACTAAAATTTTAACTGCACCTATTAGCAGTCCTCGGGTTTCCTTAATTTTTCTTTGGAGATTAAAATACACATCAAGTACTTAGAAATACTCCAAAAAATTCAAAATCGGTGTTAAAAACCTTTTATAGCCAATTTTAGAATTCCGGCACGGCAGCATTGCCGTGCTCCGGTGACAACACGGACTGGTCGTTTTCAGCCTGTTTTAGCCAATTTTGCCCAATTTTATACTCATTCCTGCGAGAAAACACATTAAGGGGCCTTGGTTGACCGAAAAAAGTCAAAAAATAAAAACTTACCAGTTGCGGAATTTTTTGATGTGGCGGCTCCACCGGTTCACCTTCGCGGTTGGGTATTTTTCTTCAGTCAATCTATGAAAAAAAGAATGGTGAATACAATGGTGAAAAAATTGCACAAAACGAGAATCCAGAAGGGTCTTGTCAGAGATGATTTTTATTTTTCTGCGGCGGCGCTGTCGGACTTCATTCGTATTTTCTGGCTCGTCTGCCGGTTCTTTTGCACCGATTTGACCATGGGGGTGTTCAAAATTAAATTTCGAGTGAATAAGAAAATTTTTACCTTTTTTGGCGGTCAGAGGTGACTCTGGCGCAGCAGCGGGCGCCAGTCGACTCTTTTATTCAGCTACTGGTTCTTCTTCTCTGGCAGAGGGTTGGCAGTTAAGGTTAGGGTTCGGTGTGAAGCGAGATATTTATACCTGTCTCCCTTTAATTTGGGTTGTCCATCGCATTTGATCTTGACTATCCGATCGTGTTTAAAGAGAAAATGAATATGGACTGTTCATCGTGATTTGATCTGAACCGTATGATTGCGTTTAAAGAAGAAGCGAATCTGGATCGTTCATCGCATTTAATCGCGACCGTCCGATCGTGCCTGAGGAGGAAATGGACCCGGACCATCCACGCACGCGGGAACAAATCCGGATCATCCGATCGCAGGCACGCAGATTGCCAGCTTGGCCTCCCACGCGACACCGAGTCAGCGTGCCTTGCCACGTGGGGTGCTTCGGTTCGTCAGGGATGCTGACTGGGCGGTTCTACATGATACATTGTTTTAAAATTGTATTTTAACCTCCAGTTTTCGATTTTTCTTTCAAAAATACTCCCCGAACCCAAATTTTCACTCCTTTTTCCCAAAATTATTTTCAATTTATCATCCACCTCTTTTTTTTTCCTAATTTTTACATTAAATAAAAATTTATAAATTTAAAAATTATATTTTTATATATTAATTTCATTTTTTAAAATTAATTTTGGGCCAAATTTCAGGTTCGGATATTATATTTTTCATAATAAAATTATATTATTTTACTTTAACAAAAATAATAGACAATAATTTTACCTTAAAAATTATAAATAGAAAATAAATGTATGTTCTATTTAATTAACAAATCTATTTTATATGGAACTACAATTGTACTTTTTTGTACTTTGTTTTTTTTTCCCCAAAAATAAGGATGTTTCTTTTTTTTTTTAATTGAGTTTTTTAATTTTATTTATAAGAATTATCTCAATTTTCACTAGTTCTATTTATGACATTGATTGTTAGTATGTTTATCTATCTCAAGATATCCTTAGTAAATAAGATAATGTTCAGATTTGTCGCCTAAGTTATTTAAGAGTGTGACAAATGATTGTTTAAGTAAGATTATGTTTTTATAAATGCACTTGTTTTTTAAATTTTAATTTCTATGTGCTTAATTTTTTATATTTTTTGCTATGTGACTTCATTTGTTCATTTATATTATATTGTTAAGAATGTAAAAGTTGGATGAATACTTTTTGAATATGGGTAAAGTTTAGCCTGCTGATTTTCTTGAAAGAAAAAATTTCTGTGAGCGGATTTTGTTAGTTTTGGTGATGAAAGTATCTTAAATATTTATACTTAAATCTGCACATATAAGATCGGATTTTCTTATCACAAAATCTAAAAAAAAAATCCAACTTAATAGATCTGATTTACATAATCCATTAACTTTTGTGCTGTATACTGCTATTTCATGAACATTTGGCAACCGTCATAGCTTTCTTTCTAAATTAATTACTTCATATCCTTCTTTTGATTCATTATATAAAGACTGCTATGGAGGTTGTAAATATTGTCACCATCAAATTTCAATCTTAAACTCATAGAAGAATTTTCAGTGAGGTATTTTAAACTATATTATATTTTATTATTAATTTTTTACATTCATTTATAATCGTTGTTATGCATATAATCAATAAAAATATTCAATTTATGCTTCTTGCATATAGTTGCGTATACTAGTAAATAAGGTAGCATAAAATATTCATCATACTTGTTGTTTACTTATATAAGATATTTTTTTGTGTTTGCAGGAAGTTTGAATATTGAAACATGAATTCTGTCAATAACGAGTCTAGCTCTACAAATACGAAATTTGTTCAAAATGAAAAGGTTGATGTAGCTCTCGATTTAGACAACACTAAGAAGATAACAATATTGATTGTTGAAGATGATCCTGTGATTCGCAAGGTGCATGAATTAACTCTTCGCAAGGCAGGTCTAAAACCCTCCGTAGCTAAGAACGGAGAAGAAGCTGTTAATCTTTTTCTTTCAGGGGCTTCATTTGATCTTGTTTTAATGGATAACAACATGCCTATCATGAATGGACCTATGGTATTTTTTTATTTTTATTTTTAATAATTTAATATATTATATGTGATTTATCATACTTTATGGATATATCTATCTATATTGAATAAGCATCACACTCCTTATATTGATACTATTTAGTAAAATCGAATTTGATTAGCAATGAATTTTTTGTGTTTATATAATTTAATTACTTGAATTTAATTTAAAACAAATGTCTGAATAAGTTATTATTGGTGCGTTAAGCTTATGCAATTAAAAGGTAATAGAAAAATATAAAAATTTATATTTTGTTGTTTTACTTTTTTAACAAAAAGAAGTAATTAGAACAATAATTATTTAAATATATTTAGGTATTATGTTTTATATCAAGACGATATTGGCATATATATAATCATTTTCTATAGAACCTAGGTTTAATAAATACTATTCTTAAGGTATATTTGATATGTCTTTTTATTTCACAGGCAACAATGAAGTTGCGAGCAATGGGAGTGAGTACCATGATTGTTGGCTTAACTTCTAATGATAGTGAAGAAGAGAAACAAGCTTTTATGGAAGCAGGACTTGATGATTTCTATGCAAAGCCGTTAACTTCAGCTAAGGTTGCCAATTTACTCGAGAAACTCAAGAAGAACTAATCATTTTTGATTAGTGGTTCGTGACATCAATTGAGATATGAAATAAATTATAAGTCTGCATAACTAAATAAACATATTGTTTGCTTTAAATAAAATTTTCTTTTATGTTATATATATTTAAAAGTTTATAGATATATGAACTTATAGAGTTGAATAATCTATATAAATAAAGTTGTTGCTTGAATAAATATTTACTTTATTACATGGGTGGAAAGCTTCTTTTAATTATTATATTATGTGTATGCTTTTATTTGTGTGATTAACAAATAACATTTTTGTTATATCGTTTATTTATGGTTTACATCTAGACATAATGAATATCATCTTAAAGAAAAAAAAAAAGATTAATTAAAACTTGTGTAAATATATAGTATGAATTATCTTATTCATATTTAACATAAAATTTATAAAAAAAATTATTTTAATAAATTTTTTAAAATAGAACTAAATATTACTTTACGGTTAAATATTTTAAAACATATCATAATAAAATGTATAAAATTACTTACCTACCCCTTTAAAATTCAAAATAGCATACATTTAGTATTTTTTTTTCGGCACTTATTATATCGAACTATCAATTATGTTCTTTTTTTCTAATGGAGATGAATCTCGATTAAGTACAATAACATAATATTAAAAAAACATATTAATTAATCAATACAATTGCTTAATATAATCTTATGCAATGAAACAATAACTTATATATTTATATCTAAAGGAGATTCTTGAATTTTCTTTATTTTTCTTTGTTAAGATGAGTGTGCTTCTATTTACGAATGAGAAAAGAAAAAAATTATGTTAATTGTGTTGATTAATGGGATTAAAATGGATTTAGTTTATGTTAATTAACTAAATCTAAGTCAACTTAAGTTTAGTTTAAAAGGAAAAAAAAAATATTCAAAAATTACTTAGTTGTATATATAATATATATTTTAATTTTAATTAGAAATATCTAATATTTATTTTTAAGTTAGTGTTTATGTAATATATTCTGTAATTTAAGATTGTACATAATGTGTATCTTAATTTTAATTAAAAATTAATGTAATATATTTTTAAATTCAATGTATATATAAATTATATATTTATATGCATATATCCAAGATTGACTTTTTATATTTAAAAATTGATTAAAATTTTGCGAAATTTGTCACCAAATCCATTGGTTGTCCTTTTTTATTTGAACAAATTATTGTATTAATTTTTGAAGTATGATGTTTATTACAGTTTGGTCCCTAATTTTTTTAATTATAATTTAATATATAATGTTTTATATTTATTTTTTAATAAAAAGTTAAAATTATTATATCGTATTTAAATATTCTAAAAAATAAATAAAAATAATTTATTTTAAAAGTATATTTTGCATTTATTTTTTAATAAAAAATTAAAATGGGTTAGATAATATTTAATTTTTAAAAAAATAAATCCAAAAAATATAGGCTATTTAATTAAATTAATAAAAATATTATATCTTTTTTTATTATTAATTTAATTAATTGGTTAAATATATTTTAAATATTTTAATAAAAAAATTGAATATTTAAAATAAATAAAGAATATCTGAATTAAATTGCAAGGAAAAAAATGTTAAAGTGAAAAAAGTTAAACAACTAAATTGATTATTTATTTATTTATTAGTTCAAAACCAATCGGATGTCATGTCTACTCTATCTCAGATATGATATACATACATATATATATATATATATACGTACACATTTTCAGATACCTGGATATGATATTTAATTGTTTTATTATGCATATATATGTATATATATAAGAGGGTAATTTACCAAATATCTTAAAATCAAACTCCGTCTCTTATCCGCTCGAAGATGTCACTCCTGTTCTCTCCCCGCAGTTCATTTCCCTCCAAATCCCTCCTCCTCCCCTACAAAAATGCTCCCGTTTCACCGTTGCACTGTGCGATTTCAGCTCCGGAGAAGAGACCGAGGAGAAGAAAGAAGCAGCAGATGAAGCATAAAGAGCAGGAGGAAAAGCATAGAGACAAAGCAGATGCTTTTTCCTCTAGTGGCCTCGTCGTCGTCTCAGCGCTGGAGAAGGGGCTTCGCTTTACCTTCATGGAGGAGCTGATGGACCGCGCCAGGAACCGCGACTCTATCGGCGTCTCTGATGTCATTTACGACATGATCGCCGCCGGGCTCAGCCCTGGTCCGCGCGCCTTCCACGGTCTGGTCGTTGCGCACGTGCTTAATGGCGACGAAGAAGGAGCGGTACTCTCCATGAACTTTCAGTTCCTCTCTAGATTTCTTTTTAGAATCTAGATATTGTTTTCGTTCATAATCTCTGCTGGTAATATGTTTCTTTACTTGAATGTTTTGTTTGAATTTCGCAACTATTGTCAAACTATTGTCGTTTTACTCGACTTGGCTGTCGTCACGGAGAAGAATCGCTTTCATAAAAATGCAGATGCAATCACTGAGAAAGGAGTTGAGTGCAGGGCTACGCCCTCTCCATGAAACACTGGTTGCGCTGATTCGCTTGTTTGGTTCTAGAGGTCATGCTACGAGAGGCCTAGAAATCCTTGCATCAATGGAGAAGTTAAATTATGATATTCGCAGATCTTGGCTGATTCTTGTTGGTATAATGTCTACCTAATTCCGTGATTTAAGCTGCATGTATGGTAGTTTCGATCTTAGTTTACAGTTACAGCTATGGTTGATGTTATGAATTTGAAAATTTTGGCTAAAGATGGTCAAGTTCTTGTGACCAGAGGAGCTTGTTAGGAGCAACCATTTACAAGATGCTAACAAGGTGTTCTTGAAGGGTGCCAAAGGCGGGCTTAGAGCCACTGATGAACTCTATGATCTTATGATTGAGGAAGACTGTAAAGCAGGTGATCATTCTAATGCCTTAGAAATTGCATATGAAATGGAAGCAGCTGGACGACCAGCAACAACGTTTCATTTCAATTGCCTACTTAGTGTTCAGGTTAGTTTTCTAAATGTAATGACAGTGCTGCACCTCATCACTTGCACATGCGTCATTGACTATATTTTATAAAAAAAACTTCAATTTTTAATATTGAATTAAACTGATTTAATCTGTTTTTCTTAATCTAGGCAACATGTGGAATTCCCGAGGTAGCTTTTGCAACCTTTGAGAACATGGAATATGGAGAAGGTTTGAATTTTTCTTCTTTGTTTCATCAACTCTGCGAGTTGCTGAACTTCTTTTATCTTTTATAGGAATGGAGTTGCTTAAGTGCTCATCCACCAGATGACTTTCAACATAACGCTCATAGTAAAGAAACTTAAACTAAAAGTGCTTTACTGTCAAATAAGTGGTTTAGTCTAATTATCTGCTAGATATTCCATTCCCGTGATTATGAAAGCTTATATGCACTAATTTCTGAACTTGGCTTCATTATATCTTCATTGTATTAACCATGATAGAAAGTTAACAAAATTTCGAGAATTATCATTTAACAAATTAAATGATTATGATTTTGGTCATTTTGAAAGGAGTTCTAATTGTTTTGTTTTCTTTTTTGAGTTGTATGGTTGAAGGTTTCTCATGCTTATAACTTGTCTTCACATGGCAGATTATATGAAACCTGATACAGAGACATATAACTGGGTAATCCAAGCATATACAAGAGCTGAATCTTATGATAGGTGGGGTTTTTAGCACGTAGAAATGAACTCAGTCATGCACATTATTTAGCAGGTTAAAGTGTGATGATGTTTCTTTTTTGAATATATAGATAATATTCTTGTTAAACTCTTTATATGACCCTATTCATTTTTCGAGGAGTTGCATTGATGAATTTAATCAGGTTATCACAGTTAGGCTGTCTGAAGAGTGTTTGTTGAAGAAGAATCATCAATAAACAAAATAATCCAGATGCTTTCTTTTTTCTTGCATACAAATATTTCATTCATTTTTATGTGAAAGCCACCTGGGTGTCAGTGGTCATGTTTGAAATCAATCTCATTGATTAGCACTGTTTGTGAGAAAGAATGACTTGCTTTGACTATTTGTTACTGTTGATCATTTCCTTCAGAAACCTGAATAATGACATAAAAGCTCAGATCGCTAACAAAATGAAGTAATTCATGCAAATTGAAGGATGCAACTAAGTCTAGAAGTCTAAGAGTATCTTTTTGAAGGCAAATCTAGTTATCTGTTAATATGAGGTCAATTTATATATGACCAAGGTGGTAGTCCAATTGGTATAGTTTCCATTCTTCCATAAGGAGGTCATAGATTTGGACCAACATGCAATAGTAATTTGTGTTTCTAGTTGCCTCGGAGAGGACACATTTATGCTTGCATCTTGGTGGGACTATAGTGACAGGCTCCTTGGGGGCTTTGTGTAGTAACTATGACTAAAACTAGATATTTTAAGGTGCGTGAAAACTCCTATCATAAATATCATCCAAAGAAGATTCTCTATATTGGTAGCGTTTCTGCACAAGTTGTCTTAGTGGGTGTATAAGTATATTAATGTTTATATCATGTAAAGGTCCATAACGTTTTTGTTAAATGGTCTAATATTACGAAGATGCCCTTTTGAGAATTTTAAGTTATTCATTATAAAATAATTTATTGTTGCCATTAATCCAAATGCTTAGCTGATAGGAAAGTCTGACCTATTATACATGATATATAAATACACTTCATCATGCACAAGTTGGCTATTCTGGAAGTGGGGATGAAGCATAGGCCTTTCGTGCATTGAATTGACCTTCAAGTAACAGAAATAGAACGAGTTTTGGGATTCAGAAACTAGCTATCTTTTTTGATAACATATTAAATAATAGACTATAATAGATAACCAGAATACTTAACAAATATACAAAGTAAAAGACTCAAAAACTAAGATCTCAAGCTCATAATGGGGTGAGAGCTAGGATTTGAACACTAGATCTCTAACTCTAGGCCATGTGAAATACTTGAGTATAGGCAATTGTTACGAGAGTTTAAGCTGATTTCGAAGAGCATAATATATTTTTTATACATCAAAATTGGTAATTGGCATTTTAGGTTTTTATAAGTAAGAAATTTTCTTGTGCATTTGGAAGTGTGATAAAAGATTATAGAGCTCTTCTCGTTCTATGAGCTCTAGTTTGGGAGGAATCTAAAGATGACCAGTTGGAATGACATTTAGAGAGTTAGTTGTATATTATGTGGTAAAAGATCAGATGAACCTTTACAGTGAACAGAGAATGGGAAAAGAAGAAATTTTTGTCTATTATTCTATGAACCTTTATATATATCTGCACATACACTAGTGAACTGTATGTAGATTGAACTGTATATGGTTACAGAATTATTAAAGAATTAAAAAGAGAATAATTACACCTTAATGAGAGAGATATTAATGTTACAACAAGGAAATCGAGGATTGTGGAGTTTTGAGATAAAAGTAAGACGATATATTAAAGAGATGCCAAGGGGGCGAACCTGTGTATAAAAGGAATTTATAGGTCGGTAAGAATATCAACAATATAACCCAGATCATCAAAAGAGACAAGGTTATGATCAAGAACAATGGGACCAAAAAAAGTGCAACCATTTGTCCTTGATAGAAATAATGTTAGTTTCTCTATTTTAAAAAATTCTGTAGTTTCTTTCCTTCCAAATGATCCAGAGGATAGTAAGAGGAATGAATTATGCCATATGTTAAGGAAATTGATGCCTTCCCATGCAAGTAACTCCTCTTTTACAGAGCCAGCGATAACTCAGAAAAAGCCAACCAGCTTGTAAATCATAGACCATAGATTATAGGAGACAGGGTACCAGAGGAGAAGATGGTTACAAGATTCATCATTCTACTTACACATAACGCACCAATTAGCCAGAAACAAACCCCTTTTCCTGAGGTTATCAAGAGTAAGAATGACATTCATAGCAACTTCACAAGCAAAGACAGAAATCTTGGGTGGGGCGAGGGAAGGAAGTAGGAGTAACATTGTTGTCTGCCAAAAAGCTATACAGGGACTAAACAGAGAAGGAACCCTTCTTGGAAAGATTTCAGTTTAATTTATCATGTTCAGACTCAATTTTTGCAGAAGCCAAGAGACAAAGCAGGTTTTCATATTCCACCACTTCCCAGTCATTAATTCCTAACAACATCTACAACCCATGTCAGAGAAGTAGAGGAATCGTAGGCTTTTTCAATGAGCATAGATTTCGATCTAGCGATGGCAAAAATATTGGGAAATAGGAATTGAAAACACGTTTGGCCAAGCCAAGTGTCCTGCCAGAACTGAATCTTATCGTCTTTGCCAATCATCCATTTGGAGTTATTAAGCACAAGACTTCTTGCATTCTAAATGCTCTTCCAAAGACTAGAACCGTATGTGCTCTTATCCACCAAGGTGCAATTATGAGGATCACCGACAAACCACTTACTAACAATGATTTTCTTCCACAGCCTGTTATCCTCATTCCAAAACCTCCAAATCCATTTGCCATGTAAAGCATTATTTAGACTAATAATGGATTTAAACCCAAGGCCACCGATTTTAACCGGTTTTTTCAACTCATCCCAATTGACCGAGTGAAATGTTTTGTTCAAATTATCATCCCCCAAAAAAAGCGACATTGGATGGATTTAAGACGTTTGGCCATCTTTTTGGGGATGGTGAGTACCGAGAGGTAGTAGTTAGGTAGGTTGGATAAAGTGCTTTTGATTAGAGTCATCCTACCACTTTTAGATAAATATTTATTTTTCCAACGAGCTAACCTACTTTGGACAGTTTCAATAACCGACTCCCAAGAGATGCAATCCTTGTGTTTGACACCAAGAGGTACACCCAAATATTTAATGGGGAGGCGGGCAGCTTTGCATCCAAGAACACTAGCAAGAGATCCGTCAGAGATTGAATTTTCTCCCAACATAATTAATTTTGAGTCCAGAAACCGTCTAGAAACATAGTAGAATGCATCTAAGGTGCAAAATATTGCTTGTACTATCATGACAAAAAAATAGAGTATCATTAGTAAAGAACAAGTGAGAAAATTCCATTTGATAACTTCTGTTTCCCACCAAAACACCCTTAAATAGTCCTAAGGAACGAGATTGTAAAACAAGTTTATTAAGGGCTTCCATAGCAATGATGAATAGTAAATGAGAGAGGGGATCCCCTTACCTTAAGCCTCTAGTGACCTTGAAGAATTTTGAAGGGCCACCGTTAATCATAACAGCAAAAGAAGTGGATGTGATACACACCTTGATCCAACTTCTCCATTTGATACCGAAACCTAATCTTTCCAACACATAATCAATGAACTCCCAAGAGACATGATCAAATGCCTTTTTCATGTTAAGCTTATAGAGAATGCCGTTTTTCTTATTTCTAATGACATCGTCAACCACTTCATTGGTCATAAGAATAACGTCCGTAATTTGACTTCCATAAACAAAAGCTTGTTGATTTTCCCCAATGACCGAGCTGACAACCTTAGCCAATATGTTAGGCAGCACTTTAGAGAGGAGTTTATAAATACATCCA